GACCCCAGGAGGAAGGTCCTGTGGTGAGAATAAGGAAGGTGTTTGGAGGAGGCAGCTGATACAGGAAGCACTATAGACAGCTGCAGTCCACAGGGCCCTGGGCTGGAACCCAGAGTAGAGTGTGGGCCCGGATTCCTCCCAATTGACCTGGACTGTGGGTTCTCCCAGAGGGGAAGGTCTCTGGACTATTCCCCAACCCACATGGTGAATCTCTGAGGCAAGAAAATCCGCCAATAAGCGCAGGACCCACCAAGATAGAGGAGGAAGTTTGTCACACTATATTATAGCAGCACAGCTACAGTGCCACATCTGTGCTGCTGTAGTTTACCTAGTGTAGACATATCCCTAGGAGTTTAGAAACTTAAGCTCCAGTCACTTTCACTTAATGCTCACTCAATGCTATAGTACTTGCTGAAGGCTGCTTTTGTGTCTGTTCTGCCAGATTGACAGTTTTTCTGCTACTGTGGAAGACGGTATGCTGGAAGAGAAGGGTCACTGATCTAAGCTGATATAACATTTCCTAGGTTCTGAGAAAAAAGACACTATGTTGAACATGGTGTGAGGGGTTGTGAGGGGTTCAGTGCTTATCTGCTAATCCAAAAAAGAATTAGCTAAGTTAATGGAGGATAGGTCCATCAATGACTAATAGCCAAAATGGTCAAGGACGCAACCCTATCCTTTGGGTGTCTCTAGCCTCTGACTCCCAGAAACTGAGACTGGATGCCAAAGGATGTATCACTCAATAAATTGCCCTGTTCTGTTCGTTCCCTCTGAAGCATTTGGCACCAGGCATTGTTGGAAGACAGGATACTGGGATAAAGGGACCATTGGTCTGATCCAGTATGGCCATTCTTATGTTCACGATAATAGGAGGTTTCATCAGCTTTCAGTTTGGACCTTTTTTTTTCTTTAACCAGCTGTTTCAGGCCAGTTGGGAAGTAGTGGGTCTATTGTTGATTGATATTGACAGTGTTTCCCTGGGTGAGGGAAGAGCAGTGGCTCCAGCAGCTCTTAAATAAATCCGTTTTCAAGAAACCAACTCATGATGTTGTCAGTCTTGCTAACTGTGAACCTGTTTCTTATCTACCGTTTTTAGGCAACGTCATTGGGAAGTTTGTAACAAAGCAACTCTGGCAATTTCTTGATTTTTCTATTTCCTTGATCTTGAATAATTTGATGATTTGATTTCTGATCTGGTTACCTGAGAGATCAACTATCTCCCTCTTATATCCTGTCCTATTTGAGATCAGCAGAGGTGCTCGAGCTGGAGCTTCTTCAGTACAAACAAGGGATGGCTGTGAGAGGTCCTGTGTTTTGGAACTCGCTTTCTCCCTTGGTTTGCCAGAGCCAAGATGCTTTAACTCTCTGGATACATTGCAGATCCCATTTTTTCTCTGTTCCTTAAGGCTGTTGAGGAGGGAGTAGGCTAAGGTGGCTATTTTATGGTCAGTCCTTTGTTTTTGTTGTGGTTTCTAGTTTATGGAATAGGCCCCCAGAGCACTGGATGGAAGCCTATAGCTGTACTTTTGGAAATTTGAAGAAATTAATAAATTAAATAAATAAAACAAATAAAAGCACTGGGACCCACCAGCCATCAATCTTGTTCTGGAGGAACAATCTCTAATGGTGAGACGGTAGCCAGTTACCATGTCTCTATGTTCCGTGGGCTCTCAGATGAAGCTGCCAACAAAATTTCACATTAATACTAGTTGTCCTGGTAGTTTTTTTATATGTATATTTGTCCACAAGAAACTGGACTGAGACCAACTCATCTTACATAAGCCATTAAACAGCCTTCTGATGTGTATGACTTGGTCACTCATAAGATTGATTCAGTCCAGTGACATAGCAGTGAAATATTCTGTATCCCAATCCCTTGGCCTTGAATGTATCTTTAATTTAAATTTTACTCAGTACTGAAATTGTAAGTGGACAGGATCAAACCAAGTGTGTAGAATAGTGTAAGCCTGTCTCTACTGGAACAAGATAACAGCAGTAACTGTAGTTTTTGCTTTTGTTTTGTAGGAAATGGAATTTGAGAAACCCATCTACCTCTGTTGAGGGAAATTATCAATTATAATTAACCTGCAAAATTGGGGGGATTGGGAAAGAAAGTAAAGCTGCACTTAGTACAGGGAACTAGGCTTTGATTAGACCTTTAAAGGAGAATCTCTCCAGAGAGGGTTAGATAATTTTCCAACAAACCTTAATACACTATTAACTCCCTGACTCTTTTATAGTTGCAGTTCTTTAACATCTACCTCTCATTTGTGTTCTTTTGCATACTTTGCTCATAATGGCTGTGCATTTGTTTCATTTAAGTATCCCTAACCAGCCTTGTTCTTTTATGTTGGGGATTGCTCTACATGCCATGATATGGTTTGGTTTTTAAAAAATATTTTGTAAGGATTAGTTTCTTGCAAAGATCATTAGCTAGTTCTGAAATGGATCCACTGAAATGCTTTTATCAGTACATGCTCCAGGAGAAAGGGGCTAAGCTTTTACTAATTGCTTTGGTGTGTGGGTCTTTGACATGGTAACCTCTGCATGTTTTATTGCTGCTTCTGAATTTTTGATTGTATACCAATAAAATATATTTTTTAAATTGTTGTAATTAGCAGCAGCATTTTTTGAAAAGTACTTTGAAGTACATAATATGTAAAATGACCCCTTAAGGGTTTCATTTAGTGTTATCAGAATATTCAGTCATTTGGATACCCTGCTGTAGGAGTTTGGGGTTTATTTACTAATTGTACTTTGGAGTGGCAAGAACTAGTAACCTTATGGCTTTGTCTATACTAGGCATTTTTCTGTATTTCCCACTATCATCATCACCTGTGGAAGCAACAATGAGAATATTAGTGTTGACAAGGAGTTGCCAGGTTTTTAACCCCACTGTGTCATCAATAGCTGCTCTGAGTATGGTTCGATGACATGGTGGCTAAAATACCAGTGGCTGGCCTATGTTAACTCTCCCCCCAGAGGAGCTTCACCAGTGGTAGCAAAGGTGAGAACGATGAGAGAAAAAGTCTAATGTAGACACAGCTTCTAGTTACAGCCTGATATCTAAAGCTTCAAAGCTGGGGAAAATTTTTTGAATTAGGCAGCTTCTACAGAAAGTTCAAGCAATTCAGTCTTGTCGCTGCTCAGATTAATACCTTGAATTGCTCTAAATAAATGTATGCAAATGGTCTGTATGAATTTCATCCTGTAGAAAAGCACATTGAAAGTTGGCTTGTTATGCATGGTTCTTTGAATCTCAGTCTGTGAGAATCTCACTTATGGCGTGCAGCACCTCATGCAAACGAGATTGAGCAGTAGTATCTGTTGGGACCATGCCTGTGCCATGTATGTCCTCGGGCACTCCACCCTTCAACTAAGGGCATATAGGGCAGAATGGCTCTGACTGCCTCTCACTTCCCTTTTGCCGCCAGTGACAGCGAGAGGAAACTTTGTAGTGTTCACCTGCTACCCCATAGTGCCCCTTCATTGAAGCAATTATGTAAATCTTTGTAAATATTAGTAATTAGCGTTATTAATTCAGGAGCAATTTTCTACCCTCATGGCAGCTCTTTTTTGTTTTCTTTAGATTTTCTGTTTTTCGCCTGAGTACTAATTAGTGCCAACGTGCCTGCCTGTGTAATGGCTGAGTCTAAACCCTCCGACTTCAAGCCATACCAGTCACGTGAAGGACTTATTCCAATAACTGATGGACACAGTTGGTGTCTTTTCTGTTTCAAGAGCCCAATCCTTAAGTATCTCTGTAAATAGGGATGAACCCAAAGGCTCCCTGGACAGGCTAGTATGGCACCAAATCTATTCTGGTACTGAAACAAAGATTCCTCATAGGCACCAAGATCCCCAGTACCATAGTCCATAACAGTATTACAGGCCTGTTCCTACCTACTGACATTGAGCCCCTGGCACTGGCCTCAGTTCTGATGCCACTAGTACCAGTTTCTCTGGCACAAGAAAGAATTAAACCCTCAGTACCGGTAATGTCTTATCCTACCACTGAGATGTCACCACCATCTCTAGAATATATTTACTCTTCCTTCTCTTCGCTCACATACTCTTTCCAGAATTAAGCTGAGATCCATCTCCAGACATCCAGTCCCCATCTCCTCTCAGGAATTCCCCAAACAATTCCTGAATCACCCTCTTCCCAGAGATTATCCAAGTGGATCATTCAGTGCATTACATCTTGTTGCCAACTAGCAGATATGCCCCTTCCCTCAGGCAACAGGGCCCACTCAACTAGAGCTGAGGCATCCTCTTCAGAGACCCACAGGGCAGCCACTGGGAGCTAATTTTATATCTTTAACAAACCTTAGGCTCTGGATCAGAGAGCAAATCAAATGCCAAATTTGGGAGAGCAGTTCTGTAGCTAGAAATCCTCAGACCCTCCTTTATTAATCTGGGAACTGCTAGTCCATCACCATAAGTGGGATCCATACTGACCACGACTCGAGGTGAGAATGATTACTTATCCCTACAGTAACTGTGGTCTTTAAATTGTTTTGTCCTTATGAATCCCGTGACTGTCCCTCTTCTCTGTTCCTTTGGAGTCCATCTGTGCTGGGATTGTGAATTAGCAAGGAAACTGAGAGGCAATCAGGGCCGGTCTATCCCATATGCCATTGGGTGGGTGCAGGGCACAGGTGTGGCACCAATGGACATTGTTGAACAAAAGAATCCAATCTCGTGCACATGCGGCACATATGTACCATAAATGGGGTGGGGTCCACATGGAAAAAAACATTTCTAAGAACCACAGTGACTGCAAAGTGGTAAGTAGTCACTGTTTTGGTAGTATCTAGATTTTCTTCAAAAATGTGTAGGTGTGTAACAGTGAGAACACACACATTTAAAAAATAATTGGAGGCCACCTTTGCAATGCAAAAGGCAACAACCTCTTTATTTCTTTCCCTTTGTTAATGTTATTTGCGGAAACTTACTTTGTTAAAAAAACTTCATGTTTCTACTTGTTTTATTTCTAGCATATTATCAAGTTTCACCGTGCCTCAAAAGCAAATAAAAAGCCCATGCAGTTGCCAAGATCTATGGTTAAATCACTACTCTACCAGATCCTTGATGGAATCCATTACCTCCATGCAAACTGGGTGCTTCACAGGGACCTGGTAAGTACTCTGTTTTATATGATATCGTAAAGTTCACATATGTATTCTTGGGAAGAGGAAGAAAAGTCCCAAGTAATAATCTTGCCTATCGATCCTTACAGCTCTTCCTGTTATTGTTACTGGATACCATTGGAGGCTTTAAAAATGAAAACAAACTATGTGTTCACATTGTTTTTATCTGCCACATCTGAACTAGGACAATGATACTGCATCCGGTAAAAGGAATGCAGATACCAATATCTGAAAACAATACACCAGCCAGCTGGTATGTATTTGTAGTATAAGTGTGTGCTCTACTTTAAAAGGGCAGTTTACTATGAAGGTGATAGATAACTTGCACATATGCCAAACAGTGTGTAAGGTTATCATAAAAGCTAGTGAGCACTAGTTTCTTCTGTGGAGTATTTTTTTCATGTGATATTTTTTTCTGGCTGTGGGAAGTGAACTGAGATCAAGTTGTCACCTTTGCAAGTTTCGCATGACCTCAAGTTGCTCTTAAAAGTGGTTGCAGATTATGAAAGCTGCCAATTGCCCCATTTATGCTAGGTGTTCTTTCTGAAAGTTTCCTACCATTTCTAACACTAGCACTGCAAAACACTAATGTAGACAACCTGTAGAATTTCTTTGTGCTTTTTTGCATCTGGAATGGTAGTTCTGAGCAACAGCAGGAAACAAAGTTCAAAAATTGGACTGATTGTAGTGCTGAATTTCCCATTTTTCTCAGGAGATGGTCTATGAAAGAGAGGTGTCACTTATGCAAAATGTGAAGACATAATTAAAAATGGCATAACACAAAAACCTAAAAACAAAAAACTGCTCAACTACATTTAAAGAAAGCATAAATGATCTTAGGACCATGCCATGTACAGTCTCTTAAGAGCTTGGTTTCTTGACAAGGCAGCTACGTATAAGAACCCTAAAAACTTGGGAATTTCTCTCTCTAACCTATGCTATTTACGCTCAGGTTGGCTGATGATACTTTTGTGGATCCTATCTGTTGTCGGTATATATGGAGCAAAGATGGTGCCAGGAGTCTGTATTCTTTCTTAGAAATGACAGTTGTCTTTGTGGGAGGGAAGAATTTTTTTCCATATCACACGTGGAATGATGATGCCAAACAGAGCTTTCTATAACTAGGAAGGGAGAATACCAGAAGATTCTGAAGTTCACTGGGTTCTTGCTATGTAAAACTAATTTATTAGGAAGTGCTTAGATACCACAGCAAGGGGTGCTACACACTGTACTGGTGATTAAAGACACTCAGAATGCATGTGTGTTTTAAAAGAAAGAACTGCAGAATAAAACCCCTTTTAAGAATCTTGTAAGTCTCAAGTAATTAAAATCACATATTGATGCACAGCAAACAATACAGTTCTGCAGAAAAAGACCTGGGGATTACAGTGGATGAGAAGCTAGATATGAGTCAGCAGTGTGCCCTTGTTGCCTAGAAGGCTAATGGCATATTGGGCTGCATTATTAGGAACATTGCCAGCAGATTGAGGAGAGCTGTGATTATTCCCCTCTATTCGGCACTGGTGAGGCCACATCTGGAGTATTGCGTCCAGTTTTGGGCCCCCCATTATAGAAGGGATGTGGACAAATTGGAGAGAGTCCAGTGGAGGGCAATGAAAATTATTAGCGGGCTGGGGCACATGACTTACAAGGAGAGGCTGAAGGAACTGGGCTTGTTTAGTCTGCAGAAGAGAAGAGTGAGGGGGGATTTGATAGCAGCCTTCAACTACCTGAAGGGGGGTTCCAAAGAGGATGGAGCTCGGCTGTTCTCAGTAGTAGCAGATGACAGAACAAGGAGTAATGGTCTCAAGTTGCAGCTGAGGAGGTCTAGGTTGGCTATTAGGAAACACTATTTCACTAGGAGGGTGGTGAAGCACTGGAATGCGTTACCTAGGGAAGTGATGGAATCTCCATCCTTAGAGGTTTTTAAAGTCCGGCTTGACAAAGCCCTGGCTGGGATGATTTAATTGGTGTTGGTCCTGCTTTGAGCAGGCGGTTGGACTAGATGACCTCCTGAGGTCTCTTCCAACCCTAATCTTCTATGAGTGTATGATTTTATTTGCTCTAGTAGTTTAGTTCACATCCTCTCTTGAGATTGGAGTTAATATGCTCATTTAGCAACTCATTTAAATGTTTAATGATCAAAAAACTCAGTTATGTTTCCCTACATATCCACCTTCTTGTTATTTGTACTTATAAAACAATTGTATATATATTTCCATTACATTGAATCAAAGTGTGTTTATGTGAACTATTTCCCTTACTCACTAAGCCTGATATTTGTTTCTTGTTTTGTCTTAGTTGGTTTGGTTACACCCTTTGGAAACAAAATACTTTTTTCTATTTTATGTAAAGCAGTGTTTTACAGCTGGGCACATGGTGTCTTCCTGATTAGATAGTATAAATAATTTCTAGTTATCTGTAGCAATTCAGCAAGAATAAGAACCCTGGGAAAAAAGTAACATGTAAATGTCATAAATTTACAAATCTAAAGCTATAACATTCTCAGAGAATATTTATATCATGGTACCAGTCAAACTGTTTTAGTATAATACACCAGGAAACGATGTTTAGAATTTACTGCACACTACATTGAAAAATGCAGAAACACAAGAACTAGACACTTGCTTGAGTAGTGGGAGAGATATTATACATTTTATTGTGCTGTTGCACTTGTGATGTTGCACTCCATATGTTTTATGAAAATATGCTTATAAATGTGAATATGATGCAACTTGAATATGCTTTATGCAAAAGGTCTCTTGTAAGGTATCATTACAAAGCTTATAATCTACTGAGTGTGTTCATCCTATTTGTTTGCATGTATTATTTCTATGTCTGGAGTTAGGAGAATAAGAAGTATACTTGTATTACTAATGTAAACATATTAAGTGTAAGCCATTAAGGGTGCTTCAGAATCAATGAATTGTAAATGGCTCTGTTTACTTGTAAACCTTCCTGTGTACGTGTGGGCCAGCCCAGAAAGAATGGAGGCAGGGGTCTCACAGGACATGTGACCGTGTCACATGATGCTGGACTCCATCTTAAATCTGGTACTTTTCCATTTAGAAGGTGGAGTGGGGACCCAGAGAGAGACAAGATTCCTGCCTTGTGTAAAAGTTATAAAAGGGGGTGGAGCAGGACAAAGGGGCTGCCAGTCATGAGAAAACCTCTGCTTAATGTCTGTGAGAACTAACAAGGACTGTACCAGGGGAAAGGATTGGGCCCAGACTAGGAAGGAGTCTAGTCTGTTAAAGAAGCTTATTGGAACATCTCTGAGGGTGAGAGATTACATGTAATCAGTTTCTTAATGTATTAGGCTTAGACTTGTATGTTTTTGTTATATTTTGCTTTGTGACTTACTTTGTTCTGTCTGTTATTACTTGAAACCACTTAAATCCTACTTTTTATACTTAATAAAATCACTTCTGTTTATTAATAAACCCAGAGTAAGTGATTAATTTGTGGGGGAATAAACAGCTGTGCATATCTCTCTATCAGTGTTATAGAGAGCGGACAATTTGAGTTTACCCTGTATAAGCTTTATACAGAGTAAAATGGATTTATTTGGGGTTTGGATCCCATCAGGTGTCTGGGTGCTGGAGCTGAACTGGTTTTAGTTAGTCTGTAGCTTTGGGGGCATGGCCCAGGCCCTGAGTCCGTGTTGCAGAAGGCTAGCATGTCTGGCTCAACAAGGCAGGGTTCTGGAGTCCCAAGCTGGCAGGGAAAATGGGCTCAGAGGTAATTTCAGCACAGCAGGTGACAGTCCCAAGGGGATCTCTGTGACCGAACCTGTCACAGCACTTAAAAGAAAATTGCAAAAAAACTAGGATAGTAAGTATATTTGTGGAGATCCCAGGATCAGTATTCTTGGATACCTGAAAATAGTTACTTGGAGAAATTATTTTAAGACCATCAGTATTGGCCAAAAGAGTCAAGAACTGCAAATTGGTAAACAAATTGAACAATGTGAACTGACAAATCCAGGAAAGGTGACACATACAGCCATAAAGGAATGTGTGAGGATTTAAAAAAGCCTTGGTGCCAAATTGAAATGTGAGTCAAAGTCATGTAATTTATATTTTCTTCCAGCTCCCTTGTTGTATTTTTTCTACCAGCTTAAACTTCCTTGTGCTCAAATTCAAAGTGATGCACAAATTGATGAAAGTTAGACCCCATTACGCTTGCTTACATCCTCTCAACTGAAGTATAAGGGAATGTAATCTAGAGTAGCATATATGCAGCGTCACCACAAGAAGATATACATCAAAATACAGTAGCTTTGACTTTAACGTATATCACCTTCCAGCTGCTTGATATATTGGACACCCTTACAAATGGGTAGGGCAGAAGTAAGGTAGTCCAAACTGGTGTACGAAGATTTAATTTACACCACTTTCTAGATTTGTCCAACATGTCTAATGGATCTTTTTATTTTGAGCTCTTCTGTTCAAATCATCTCCCCACTCAATTCATTTTATCTTAACAAAAATTTAAAGATGTAAACAAAATAGAGAAGTAGCTGCAGTGTTCTATTGTTGTGCCAGTGTTGAACAATTGTACTTTTAAAAATGAGAAATTGATTATCTTATTTTAATAATGCTGCATTAAGAAGGAATAAAGGCTATTACCAGCAATTATCAAGTGTGATCCTTAGGAAGAAGTTTGTTTTTGTCTGCACCTTCTCAAGTACCCTGTTGGGTGGCAGTTTGGAAACTGTCATCATTCTAAGGTTTAAATCTTCAGTTAAACTGATTTCTGTTGGTTATTGAGATTTTTTTCTTTAGATTTAATGTAATTGTGTTGATAAACTTTATACTATTGGGGTTAATTTTTTTTCCTGTGGGAGATTGAAAGACTAAATAGCTTTGTACAAATATGAATTTTTTTTTTAGATTAAATACTTATTTTTCATCAGCAGATAAGCGGCTTTGGAGAGGATATTCCTTACCTGATTATACTATTTAATAAGGTGTACATTTTAAAAG